CCAGACTGGACTTGAACTCCTGACCTCATGATTCTCCTGCCTTTGCCTTCCAGAGTGTTCGGATTACATGTGTGAGCCACCACGCCTGGCCTGACTAGTACAAATTTAATTCTTAAGTTTAAATCTTATGTAGGCAATAGTATTTCTTTAGAAGTGTTACTTTGATGTAGCATTGTGTTCTTATGGTTTGTAGATTGTCTACGATTAAGAGATGGCTTCTCATTTGAGATAGAGATAGGTTATAGAAGGAACTGAGTTACTGAACTTTGGACATAAGGCCCTTTGAACTTCAGTTCTTTGTTATAAACTTGGGATGCCTGCTCTAATTTACATGAGGTTTTGTGTATATCAAAAGGTATAAGTAGTGTAATCTGATTAATTTTGTGCAGTCATGTTAGAAAGTTCTGCATTTGGTCTTCAGAATCAATATAATTCTTTGCCCTCTGCCCCCACCCCAGCCCATTGTGGTAGGATAATTTGTCTTCTAAAATCTCTTGGATTCAACTTTAAATGTTTATATAAAAGCATTTTTTTAAAAAAAAATATGAAATATGGGAAATCTATGGCTCATGTATGAATCAGTTTTTCTTTTTCTTTCTTTCTTTTTTTTTTTTTTTTTGAGATGGAGTCTTGCTCTGTTACCCAGGCTGGAATGCTGTGGCACCATCTTGGCTCACTGCAACCTCTGCCTCCCAGACTCAAGCAATTCTCTTGCCTCAGTCTCCCGAGTAGTTGGGATTACAGGTGCCTGCCACCATGCCTGGCTAATTTTTGTATTTTGAGTAGAGGCGGGGTTGGGGTTCATGTTGGTCAGGCTGATCTCAAACTCCTGGCCTCAAGTGATCCACCCACCTTGACCTCCCAAAGTGCTGGGATTATGTGTAAGCCACCCCGCCCGCCTTAGTTCCTTTTTTGAATAAGGAAATGAATGTGTTGTGGTTAAAGGTTAGATTGACATTTCAATACCCTTGGGGTTTGCCTAACCTTCAAGTATGTGGCTCTTTTCCACAGTGCCTTTGGTTTCGATGAAATAGTGTTGGACACAAGACTGGCCACGGCCTCTGCGCTCTGCTTTTCTTGGATAGTTGCCTGAAACCCCATGATTCTAGAATTGGGGTGTGCTCAGAGCAGTGTTTGGCTGAGAGCCTTCAAGGGGCTGTGTTTGTGTGAGTGTGTGATTATCCACCGGACACTAGATTATCCTGGGATTACGTTAAAATGTAGTCATGCCTAAAGTTCTCTGGTAAGTACACAGCTCTCCTGATTAACTCGCGGTATGAGGAAGGTTTATTTTCAATCAGGTAGCTATTTAGAAAGGACTCTTATTTTAAATACTTCAGCATCTACATGAGACTTCGTATTCTGGGAAATAACTGAGGTTGGGTTAATTTGAGTGGTAAGGCAATTGGACTTGGTTTTCAAAATACAGTGTTAATGGTTTAAAAGTACATTATGCCCTGATGGTGCAAAAACATACCTGAAACCTTCAATGTTGTATCTGCTTTTCTCCTCTAGTACCTTCCAGTCTGTAAGGTAGTGTTTGTAAAATGCACGACTTTTATTGTACTCACAGTTCTGATGTTGAGACTTGGTCATCTCATAATTTTTGAGGTGAAATAATTGGTCGGTTGCGTAATTTTTTAAAGAGGTTTGCAACTGGTTATATAACTGTCTTATATCTAAGCCAGGCTACTAGTAATTATTGAGTTTTCCAATGTTGTTCAATTTTGTGATGAAAGAACTAGTCCCTTGCAGATCTGACTGTTGGACTTCCTGTGTCTTCAAATCAAAACAAACCAAAACTTGGCCAGGCTCTTTCTTCACAGGATAGTTTTTTTTTTTAAGCCACCTCACGTGGCCCCTTCCCTTTGGCTCTTGAGATTTGTATCAGGTTTAGCTTCTCTCTTTTGCTGTTTGGTTTGCCAGGTGTATGTTTACATGTCTGCTTCATCTTTCTTTTTTTTGAGACAGAGTCTCACTCTTTCACCTTGGCTGGAGGGACGTGGCACAGTTTTAGGTCACTGCAACCTTCCCCACCCTTCCACCTCCACCCCTGGTTCAACTGATTTTCCTGCCTCAGCCTTCCAAGTAGCTGAGATTACAGGCAACCACCACCATGCTCGGCTGGTTTTTCTTTTTTTGAGATGGAGTTTTGCTCTTGTTGCCCAGGCTGGAGTGCAACAGCGCGATCTCAGCTCGTTGCAGTTTCCGCCTCCTGAGTAACTGGGATTACAGGCCTGTGCCACCACACCCGGGGTATTTTTAGTAGAAACAGTGTTTCACCATGTTAGCCAGGCTGGTCTCAAACTCTTGATCTCAGGTAATCTGCCCACCTCGGCCTCCCAAAGTGCTGGGATTACAGGCGTGAGACACTGTACCCAGCCTAATGTTTGTATTTTTAGTAGAGATGGAGATTGGCCGGGCGCGGTGGCTCACGCCTGTAATCCCAGCACTTTGGGAGGCCGAGGCAGGCAGATCACTAGGTCAAGAGATCCTGACCATCCTGGCCAACATAGTGAAACCCCATCTCTACTAAAAATACAACAACAAAAAAATTGGCTGGGTGTGGTGGTGCGCGTCTGTAGTCCCAGCTACTCTGGAGGCTGAGGCAGAATTGCTTGAACCTGGGTGGCCGAGGTTGCAGTGAGCCAAGGTCACGCTACTGTACTGAGACTCTGTCTCAAAAAAAAAAAAGAGAGAGAGAGAGAGAGAAAGATGGAGATTAACCGTGTTGGCCAGGCTAGTCAACATGGTTAATTCCTGACTTAAAGTGATCTACCCACTTTGGCCTCCCACAGTGCTAGGATTACAGGCCTGAGCTACCACGCCTGGCCATCTTTCTTTGTGCTCTCCAAGCATTCTTTAGACTTGTTTCTTGTATCCATTTTACTATGCTTCAGACTTTTTTCCTATGTTTCTTCAGGTCTGGGCTTACCTGCATTTGACTTTTGAAGAATAAAGTATCCTCATTCTCTTTAGAAACAGAAACTTCGTTTAAAACTTGATTTAAAAAAAAAACTTGATTAAAAGCAATTCTAGGTAGAATAGGTTTAAAAACCTGGTTGTTTCTAGGTTCACACATTTTACATTTATCCTTTCTGTGGTCTGATAAGATAGGTTTAGTTGCTCAATGTGTTGATTTCTCTTAATGCCTCCAGCTTTTTCAGAATCATTTAAGTTTTAGGTACAGCATCACAAGGTCGTCTTTGGGTGGTCCACCCTTTTAGGGTTGGCTCATCTAAATCTTTTTCCAAAGAGATGGGAAAGTGCTGATCCTTTCTAATGCTATTTACATTCAGAATGGAGTTCATACTTTCTTTGTTTATGAAGAAGTGAATAATAAAGATTATTGATTTACATTATACCGATATTGAGACACTGAAGAAGTTACTTCACTCTTGAGTTGCTTTTTATATTTGTAAAATTATAATCCACCTTCTCAAAGTTGTGATGGGGGTATAAATGTGAAGTTATGAATGCACTTTATAGCATATCAGGTTTCCAAATTGATGTTGAAATCTAGTCCCGGTCCTTTTTAATTTTAGAAAATAAGACAGGGTTTCACCATCTTGGTCAGGCTGGTCTTGAACTCACGACCTCAGGTGAGCCACCATGGCCGGCCTCCTGGTCCTTTTTAAGTATTTTTTTTCTTTATAACATCCCAGGTCCTGTTTTTATTAATTTTTAAGAGAAAAGATCCTCTGTGGACAGTATCTCTGTTTATCAATAAATACTGTCGTCTGCTAAGGAGTAGGCCTTGTTACAAAGTTCTGGTTATTCTGCTGCCCTCTTGCCATTTTCTTTAATAATGCAAATTCAGCTTGGGATCCTCTGTGATGTCTGGATGATTGTCTTCTTGCTGGAACACAGCTTTACATTGTTTGACTACTGCTCATCCTTTCAGAGTCCATTGTAGACATAGCAGACAAGAGATTAAAATAAAGCCACGAAAAGTAATGTACACAGTATTGTTGCTTTTACAAAAGGTTCAGGGATAAAGTAACAATGGATGAATTCCATTAAAGACACTGCTTTGCGCAGTGGCCGTATCGTAGCCAGTGAGGTTTATCCAAGGTGTGATTATTGGTAATTGAAAACTTTTCCCAACACCCTTCCATGACGACTTTAAATACAGTCAGCATTGGCAACTTTTGACAGTCTCTATGGAGACTGAATTTAAAAAAAAAAAAAAAAGATGCCAGGAGCGGTGGCTCACGCCTGTAATCCTAACATTTTGGGAGGCCGAGGTGGGTGGATCACCTGAGGTCAGCAGTTCAAGACCAGCCCGGGCCATCATGGTGAAACCCCATCTTAGTTTAATATAAATAAAAAAACAAAAGACATACTGGTGATTTTTGTGCAAGCATAGCAGCATAATTAAAAATAAATTGCAGTGACTTCAATTTTCAATTTTTTTTCTAACTAGATCAAACCACTAAAAGGTATGGGTCATTTTTACCAAAACTCAGGTGGGGTGTATGTAGGCAGTCTAGTCTGGGAGATCTGTTGGGAATGGTTGAGTTACAGGAAGCTGTTGGGAACTGGAAGCAGAATGAGAATATACCTAGGGAAATGGAAGAAGCTTTTTGTTTCCACCATGCTCTTTGGTCTTAGTGTTGAAATTAATCAGGATTAATTTTTCATTCTAAAACGTTTGCTGCTGCCTTCAGCATATTCCTGATTGTTGGTGCTGAATCTGTCAGTAGGAGGGCATCTTCCCAATGATATGGTAAATGCAGATGTTAAAAGAGATTTTTTTAAGAACAAGACAAGCTCTAGGAGTATAAGAAACACTGAATTTAGACCATTAAGATTAAATGTCATATGTAACATTTTCATTATGACTGAAATCATTTCAGTTTAGTAGATACTGATGGGGTCAGAGGCCACATCATGGTATTCACTTTGGTTAACTTGTAAAATGGTTTTCTTTAGAGGGGAATACATTATGGCTCTAGTGATCATGATACACATTTTCTCTTTTTCTTTTTTTCTAACAGAAAGCGTGGATACCCATCAACGAAGTTTTGATATTGGAATTCAGATTGGCTATCAGCGACGCAATAAGGATGTGTTGGCTTGGGTTAAAAAACGCAGAAGAACTATTCGTAGAGAAGATTTGATCAGCTTCCTGTGTGGAAAAGTTCCTCCACCACGAAACTCTAGAGCTCCCCCAAGACTGACTGTAGTGTCCCCTAACCGAGCTACTTCAACGGAAACTAGCTCATCTGTAGAGACTGATTTGCAACCCTTCCGGGAAGCCATAGCTCTGCATGGTAAAGCCGTTTAAACATATTTCTTTGGAAAATGGTTAAGAGGGTGCCTGTGGACCCATTTTTCACATTTAGGTTTAGGTCCAAGTATATTGACTGTTTTTTGTCTTTTACAGTAACCGCTTGCTCTAGAAATGTTTAATACAATGTAAGCTAAGAACTTACATGGGTGAACTTACTAATGTCAGCTAACCCATCCTAGAAAATGTTTTCAGAAAGTTAGTTTGAGCTTATTGGTGTTAAAATGACAGATTTTTCTGCAGCGTTAGAGTATATCACTTTATACTTATATGTTGTACATGTTTTTTTCCTCTTCTGAAGTCAAAGAGGAAGTTCTTGTGTCTTAAGAATTCTACTACATTTCTAGGCTGGGCGTGGTGGCTCAGGCCTGTAATCCCAGCCCTTTGGGAGGCCGAGGCGGGTGGATCACGAGGTAAAGAGATCGAGACCATCCTGGCCAATGTGGTTAAACCCCATCTCTACTAAAAATACAAAAATTAGCTGGGCATGGTGGCACATGCCTGTAATCCCAGCTACTCGGGAGGCTGAGGCAGAAGAATTGCTTGAACCAGGTAGTCAGAGGTTGCAGTGAGCTGAGATTGTGCCACTGCGTTCCAGCCTGGTGACAGAGCAAGACTCCATCTCAAAAAAAAAAAAATTCTATTACATTTCTAATTGCTTGCTGCATGACAAGCAAGTAAGGTGGGAAATTGTTGGGTTAGTTCTCATGGGACCTGGCACCTCCCTTGACAACTTTCTTACCTAGTGTGCTGTAGATTGTGGGAGAGGACAGACATAAGACTCAGTTTTCCTTCTGCCTGTTGTCCCTTGCACTTTAATAGGCGGGACCAGCAGAGATGCAGCCAGTGGACAGGTAGATCACCATCTCCCCAGTCCAGACCTGTCGTAAGAAGGCACTCTTGGCTAAGGGGTTTTAGTATTGCTGGAGAAGCATGGGGAGTGTAGACAGTGATAAGTCTGTTGTTGCCTGTTGCTCTCTAATACAGACTTCTGAATAGAACTGGGAGAGTTAACCTGTGTGACAGCATTTAGTACTGCTATAGAAAAAAAGCAACAGAATAAGACTTGCTTGAAAACGTGTATCATGCAGATCGCTAAGCAAGTAGAAGTAATTAGTTAGGTGTCTTGAGTCTTGTTGAAAGTTAACATTTTTGGGCCATAGTACAGGTCATCTAAAATGAGGTCACCTGGTAAGGTGCTAGGAAATAGTGGGGTATAAAGAAACTTTATTGAGTTGAATCATAGAAACTTTATACCTGTAGAGATCTTGTTCTCTCTGGCAAACCATGATTCTTTCCTAAACCCCAGTGTTGGTTTTTTTTTCCCCCCTAGATAGTGTTTAGGACAAGTTCAGGTTGTATGGATGCAGTACTTAAGACTGCACATTCCTGATACAGTGGAGTAGTTAGGCTGTCAGAACTTTGGAAGCTCAAACAGAAATCTGTTTCTGCTGAATTAGAGAGTTTCACATCTTTCCGCCTAAAGTTTGGGAAAACAGTTAACTAGAGATGTACATAGTTTGTTAGATTAATTGTAGTGCATGGTAATATTTGATGCAGTTGTCTCTCCTTAAGTATTGTGATTTTCTTCCTTTATTAAGAGGGTTATGGCTCATTCCATGCTTCTCTTAAGTGTATCTTTTTATTGTATTGTGCTATTATACTTTAGAAGATAGTTTTAAGAAACATAAAATCCATGCTTGTTAACGCAGTAGTGTACATAATAGTAACAATGGCAGGCCAGCCCCCTCTACCCTGAAAAACTCCAACTCCCATTACATTTTCTCATATCTGATCTGTTCAACCTGTTATTTATTGTTTTCCTGAACTTTGGGAGTTTTAAGTAATGATACAGTTAGGGGACTATTTATAATTTTCACATGTTTAAGTTGTGAGGATTTTCAAAGATTTGAATATAAGACTTTGTGAAGGAAAAAAATGATCTTTCCCTTCAATAAATTGATAATGTAGAACTAATCCAGTATAGATCAGAGACTGAATGTATTCTTATTCTTAGGGTTCATACCTCTAATTCATACAGTTAACACAGTGCTGTGGTGAAGTAATAGGGCCCTTTGAAAGCATCTACTGAAACATAAATTATACTGAGTTGTGCTCTACTGGTTTGTGAGAACATCAGTGTATGGGAGAGAATGATAGTTTAATTTGAATATTTAAAGAAGGTAATTTGAATGGTTCTAGTATTAGGGCCATTGTTAACTAGTAATGTAAATTAGTAACTATAACTGGGTGTCCTTATTATCTGATTTGTTGAATTGTCTGAAGTGAAAACTGTTAAGGTGCTCTTTTAAAAATGTATTTGGAAACACCGTAGTTAAAGTAGATACAATGTCTGAATTCAGTCTTGCATATTATGTGCTTAGCCAAATTTATGAAGTTAAGTTAGGTCAAATTGAAATTTTTGGAAGTTTACATTTGGGGTGAATCTAAATTCATGTGTTTGGAGAGCAAAAGGACATGGGAAAAGAATTAATCTATTGAGGCAGGCTTGAGTTTATAATTAAAGCAAACTCATACTCCTCTATCATGTCCTATGTATTTATAAGAGAAGACAGTTTTCCCTCAGTTTTTTTCCCATTCCTTACTCCTACGCCCGTTAAACATAGCCCAACTAAATAAATATGCTCTTAACTTGAAGGAAAATGGCAGACTTGAGATACCTGCCGAGTATTTCATGTAGACAGAGTGTGACAATGAATAAAATCCCTATTCATTACCCTCTAAGCCTCAGAACTCAGTTTAGTGGGAGAGAGTAATGTAAACAGCTTTTTTTTTTTTTTTTTTTTGAGATGGAGTTTTGTTCTTGTCACCCAGACTGGAGTACAGTGGCGCCATCTCAACTCACTGCAACCGCTGACTGGGTTCAAGCAACTCTTGCCTCAGCCTCCTGAGTAGCTGGGATTATAGGCATACGCCACCACACCCAGCTAATTTTTGTAGTTTTAGTAGAGATCAGGTTTTACTGTGTTGTTCAGGCTGATCTCGAACTCCTGACCTCATGATCTGCTCTCTTTTGCCTACCAAAGTGCTAGGATTACAGGCATAAGCCACCATGCCTGGCCAACAGCTTTACTCAAAAGTAGATCAATTGGCAGGGCACTGTGGATAACACCTATAATGCCTGCATTTTGAGAGGCCAAGGTGGGCAGATCACTTGAGGTCGAGTTTGAGACCAGCCTGGCCAGCATGGTGAAACCCTGTCTCTATTTAAAAAAAAAAAAAAAAAAAAAAATGAATCAATTAATGGTTGTCAGAGAGGTTTTTTGTTTTGTTTTGTTTTGTTTTGTTTTAAGACTGAGTCTTGCCCTGTCGGCCAGGCTGGAGTGCAGTGGTGTGATCTCAGCTCACTGCAGCCTCTGCCTCCTGGGTTCAGGCCATTCTCATGCCTCAGCCTCTTGAGTAGCTGGGATTACACGTGCCCGCCACCATGCCCAGCTAATACTTGTATTTTTGGTAGAGACGGGGTTTCACTATGTTAGCCAGGCTGGTCTCAAACTCCTGACCTCAAGTGATCCACCTGTCTGAGCCTCCTTCCTGTCTCGGCCTCCCTAAGTGCTAGGGTTACAGTTGTGAGCCACCATGCCCAGCCTCAAATAGTTTTAATTCAAATTACTTCAATTAGTGGTTATAAGGCTTAAAGACTTAATTCAGTGCTTTATTTTGACACTTGTCTGCAACATGTTACTTTTTTTTCTTGTGTCCTATGGGACCCAGTCATCTGTATGTTAGACTCACAGAGGATTTAAAGAGATACATATATGCATGTGCTAAGTTGATTTCTGTCTTACTTTGTTATCCTATGTCTTAAAATAACATTATAAATTTCCCAAGAGTTGAATTAACAACTAGTCACTCGTTTTTATGTAAACAGCATACTTGAGACCAGAAATCTTCTGAACTGCTTCGTGGATCTCTGACTACGATTCTCACTGGTCCTCTGTTCATTCCTTCTCTTCTCTTCTAGAGCTTTTCCTTACCTTGGCTTCTCTTCTGCCACACTGGCCTGCCTGACCTGTCCTCAGGCTCTGTCACTGCCCTAGATTACGTTCCCCACGTCACTCATCATATCCAAATCTGGGCCTCTCGTTTAGACCTCCTCTTTTGACTGCCAGATGGCATGTCCCCCTGTCTTCTGGTGTACATCTCCAAAGTGTCCCACGGGCATTTGTCTCGGATGACATTTCAGGTTGGACTCATTCTTCTGCCCCAACAGCAGACTCATTGAGCCATTCAGCACATTTTCTATATGGCAGGTTGAGTGCTGTCTCTGGAAGTATATAAACAAATATAGAGTGCTTCCTTCTTCTGTTGAGGCAAACAAGGATTTGGATAATTTCTATTAATGCCGTGAATGTGGTATGTGGAAGATATTCTGAGGGCAGAAAGGGCTATTTCACAGTACGGCCCCGCTGTGTGTGGCTCAGGGCAGGCCCTTAGAGGAGGTGAGCCTGGGCCCTTGGGCTGATATTTCAGCTCTCACTTCCCAGTCCTGAGATGTTGATTGACGCCAGTCCATCTTTCATGAGACCATTGGAGTGATCTTTATGATCTTGTCACTTCTTGGTTTAAAGTTTCCCTGGGGCCTACACAGTGAAGTTCAAATTCAGCATGCTATTGCAAGATCCTTATGATATGGTCTTGGTCTTAACCATGGGTCAGGTATCCTATCCATAGTGTTCAATCTCTTGAACACCTCTATGCTCTTTGAGTCCAGCTCCTAACCCTACGTGTTCATACCTCACTTCTGTGACACAACCTTCCTTCAGGTCTCCCAATCTCGGTAGCCTCCCTGAACTGTGCATTTGCTTTGCTGCATGATTTGTTTCTGTGACTGTCCCAGTCCCCTGGGACCACATTATAGCAGGGACCTTGCCTTGGTCCTTTTGGCTTTGATAGAACATAGCAAAGAACATGACGTAAATGTATTCTGAGTTTTACCACTGGGGTTAATCGCAGAGACTT